GCCTTCGGTGGAGCTCCGTATGGGGCCACGAGGCGTGCGACGGGTGTGCCAAATCGGGCGCGGGCACGCCATGCAGACCCTGACGATGAGGCTTTCGGTGGAGCTCCCCTGTGGGGCCACGAAATATTTCAGGGGTGTGCCGAATCGGGCGCGGGTACGCCATGCCGACCCTGCCGCTGGGGCTTTCGGTGAAGCTCCCGATGGGGAGACGAAGCGTGTGAGTGGTGAACCGAATCGGGTGAGGGTGCGTTATGCGGGCCATGCCGCTAGGGCCTTCGGTGGAGCCCCCTGTGGGGCCACGAAACGTGTGAGTGTGCTGTTGGGCCCTTCGGTGGGCCTCCTCACTTACGCAAGACGAGGAATTCTCCTCGTGAGGTGAACACGGCGATGAGGAGTTCGCGAGACAACATCGCCGCCGCCGAACGCACGGCGTCTGGACGACCTGTTTGCAGCAACCGGGAGGAGAGATATGTATTCAAGTTGAGCGGGGCCCGCGCGTGCGGAGAGTTGATGGGAGCGCGCGAGACAGCGCAGGACCCACCTTGGGAAGTTGATAACCGAACCCCCCTTCCCCGTAGAATCTTAACACGGGCGGGTTGCGGTTGCGGCGTCCGCGGATCCGATTCCTTCTGGCTCCCCGTTTTTATTGAACTTCATTCCACACCGCGTAGAAATCGGATCTGCTCCGACGGCGATTATCCCATACGCGTCGGCTCTAGACTTCAAACCATAGTTCAGGGCCCGATACGAGAAACTTTCGTCCTGGGTATGTATGGGGCCACGAAAAGTGTGAGGCGTGTGCTGAATCGGGTGTGGGTACGCCGTGCGGACCCTGCCGCTGGGGCCTTCGGTGGAGCTCCGGATGGGGTCACGAAGCGTGTGATGGGTGTGCCAAATCGAATGCGGGTATGCCTTGCTGGCCTTGCCGCTGGGGCCTTCGGTGGAGTTCCTTTCGGAGCCACGAAACATTTGTACGACATGCGGACACTCCCGCTGGTGTCTTCGGTGGAGCTCCCTGTGGGGCCACGAAGCGTGTGAGGTGTGTACTGAATGATGTGCGGGCACGCCATACGGACCCTGCTGCTGGGGCCTTCGGTGGAATTCCCTGCGGGGCTACGAAGCGCGTGCCGAATCGGATGCGGGTGCCCCATGCGGACCCTGCCGCTGGGGCCTTCGGTGGAGCCCCCTCGGGGGCCGCCATGCGTGTGGGGTGTGTGCCGAATCGGGTGCGGGTCATGCGGACACTGCCGCTCAGACCGTCGGTGGAGCTCCGTCTGGGGCCACGAAACGTGTGAGGGGTGTGGTGAATCGGGTGCGGGAGCGCCATGCGATCCCTGCCGCTGGGGCCTGCGAGGGAACTCCCTATAGGGCCACGAAAACTGTGAAAAGTGTGCCGACTGGGATGTGGGCGCGCCATGCGGACACTGCCGCTGGGGCCTCCTGTGTAATTCCCTATGGGGCCACGAAGCGTGTGAGGGATGCGGATCGGGTGCGACTGCGCCATGCGGACCCTGCCGCTGGGGCCTTCGGTGGACCCCCCTGATGGGGCCACGAAGCGTGTGAGGGGTGTGCCGGATCGGGTGCGAGCGCGCCATGCGGACCCTGCCGCGGGGCCAACGGTGAATCCCCCTGATGGGGCCACGAAACGTGTGAGAGGTGTGTATGTGTGAAGCGGGTTATGATGATGCTGATGATGGTGATGCTGGTGATGATGATGATGGTGGTGATGGTGATTGTGATGATGATGTTGCTGGTTATGATGATGATGCGGATTGTGATGATGCTGCGGATCATGATGTTCATGCTGATCATGATGATGATCATCATCAGCATGTTGATGCCGATGGTGCTGCTGCTCATGAGGATGCTTATTATCATGTGGCTCTGCTCTTTCTACGCCGCCAGAGGTATCACACACATCAGAGGCACTCGAAGGGCCCCAACCAGGATCCCCAACCCCAAAAATTTGGAACTGGCCTCTGGCCTACGCGAAGCGACTAAAAAGCATATCGCAGACACGTTCGGCGAACAGTTGCGGATATGGCTGTGCAATCAGCGTCTTGAGCTTTCCATTCGCATTGTTCCGACCAGTTGCTCATACTTCTTGTCGGTGGCGGAACACCTACTTCTGCTCATGACACACTTCTTGACACCCCCGAACTCGGGACATCTAGAGGCGAGCAGGGGCGTGTTTTTCTGCCACGGGGTGCCATGCTGACAAAAACTAGCAGTGTACATTTCAGCACCGAGACGCCAACGAGTTAAACAGGCGAGTCACCCAACTTCTGGAGGTCATCGGATTTTCGACGACCACGCGAATGCCAGCGAGGATGCGCGAACGAGCGAGCAGGGCCGAGGCACGCATGAGCGCGTTGCCTAGGCGGATCTTCGCATAATCCTTGTCACAGAGGCCGGGGGTACCAAGCAGCCCGGGCCCCGAATCTCGGAAAGGGGGCAGGGCCAGACCCCCAGCCAGACGAGGCGCCAGGCAGGCGCGGTGGCATGCTCGAGGAGGGCCTTCCAGGCCTCTGGTCAAAGGATGTCCTGGTTCGGAGCGCGGGCGATGTCGAGGGTATAGACGAGATAGCCCCTCTTCGCGAGCTCGAGCGAGAGGTGTTCGCACCCGGCGAAGACCTCGATGCAGTAGCCCCTCCGCCTCTGGATGCCAGGCGGCGGCTCAACGACGCCGCAAGGGAAACTGGGGGCGACCTCGCGGCGGCCAGCGCCGCCGTCATCACAGCTTGCGGCAGGTGGGCCTCCTCGCGCTGGAGACCCGCCGCCGCCTCGTAGCGTTTCATCGAGGCGTCGGCGCTCCAGCGCCCTCGATGCTTGATCTCCAGCGGGCCCTCAAATCGCCCCTCCTGTCCTCGGACGGCCCGCAGTGCCTCATCTGGCACAGGACGCGCAGCTTCTCCATCCCGAGGTGGAGCTGGGCCGCCCGGAACAGCGCGGCGAACCAGATCATCTTGAAGGGGGTGATCGTTGGTCGCGAGCCTCACGGCCGTCAGCCGTCAGCAGCCCTTCGCCGATGAAGAGCCTCCTCGGATGGTCGATCAGCAGGCTCTCGTTGGTCGCCATGGTCTTCGAGGTCTGGACCCTCTCCTCTGGGTGGAGGTTGAGTGCGACGAAGGTCGAGGCGGGGGCCAGCGGCGCCACCGCGTCCGACACCTGCAGGTTCAGCTCTTCCGAGGGCCTCTGGTAGCACGCGAATCAGAGCACCACCAGCAGCGCCGCCGACGGCTCGCCCCAGTCGACCATCACCTGCGCCACCGCGACCGCCACGAGCCAGGGCATCGGCGGCCGTGCGACCGCCGGCCCCAGGCGCGACCGGGCCTGGAGGGCCCGGCAGGCGCGGGGGAGAGATGCCCCCCCTCTGCCCGCCGATGGGCACGTCGCCTGCCAGGCTGCGTAGAGCACCTGCCCCGCGGAACGGTCGTCGCCGTCGGTGAACGTCTCTGGCGCCAGCCCGGACATCGCGACGTCGGCCGACTCCAGCAAGTTCACCTGCAAGCCCCAGTGGAAGCGAAATGTGCTCAACCTGCGAAGGGCTCCGAGGCACCTCGGCCACGAAGCTGGTCTGACGGCCCCGAGCGCCAGCGCGGAGGCCACGCCCAAGCCAAAAGGGAACGCGACCTCGCGGATGTCGGCCACGAGCGCCGGCTACAAGGGCAGCGACCTGGTCGGCTTGGTCGGCTTGACATGGCCCTTGGACGAAGCAGGGCGCCTCCGGACCGCGCAGGATCGATTCCGTACCCTCCCAGAGCCGCGAGCCACCATCTGCGGCGTTCAGCTCGGACGGGTGCCATCGGCGGTGCACCCGCACATCGGCAGCGAGGGTGAGCGCGAGCAGGCGCCAGCAGATCCTCAACAATCCTGGAGCGGAAGACCTGCCCTTCTCTGAAGCCAAAATGAGCGATACATTGTCCCCAAGGTGTAGAACCGAACAGCCGAAAGACGCCGGAGAACGAAGCCGGTGCCTCAGGGCCGCCACCGAGCCCCCACCTTCAAGTACCATGATGCTTTCGGCCTCCAGGAACCGAGCCGCGAAATCGAGCTGCCAATCCTTGGGGTCCAAGAGCCCCCGAGGGATGTCGACGAAGATGGGGTTCTCGTCCCGCGCCTCTGGAGTCTCGTGGGGGTCCACGGGCTTGACAGTGTTGATGTTGCTATCAACGTCCGCACCTAGCAGCGAGTGGTCCCGAGCCCTGATCGCGGGGGTCCCAGTCTTGTACCTAGACTTCTCCTCGAGGCCCCCGATCGACTTGACGACGTCCGAGTCGAGCACCCGCGAGCATGCAGCGTACCCAAAGAGGCAGGCGTCGGACGACGTGACCTTCGGGCACCACGGTCTGTCGAGCCGCGCCCGGCAAAACGGCAGCAGCGCGAGGAACCGTCTGACCTCCCTGCACACCGAACCCCAGACACGACAGCGGCTGACGGCGTGAGCCGAGATGAAGGAGTAGACGCGATGGAAGATAGCGAACATTTCACGACGCAGCATGCACAGGTGAGCACAGTGACCCACGAACAGCTCCAAAGCTTCGACGCTGACGCGGGGCCGCCGAAGGAGCCAGAGCCCTGCGGCCCTGAGCAACTCCAGCTTGCGGTCCGTGGGGGCGACGGGCCTCTCTCGGCCAGTGACCTTATGGCCCAGCGTGGCGGCGTCCGCGGAGGACCCGTAGATCTCGTGCACCACGAAGCCAACGTACCAGAAGTGGTCGACCAGCTCGCCCCGCAGGGTCCCGGCACGCTGCGCGTCGGAGCCCGCGACGTTCAAAATGTCGGCGTAGGCGAGCAGCGCCGGCTTGCCATCCGACATGTCGGGGGCGAGCCGCTCGTCACTCAAGATGCGATCCACCGTGGCGGCCACGCTGCGCATGGACTGGTGGTAGACCACGCGCTGGGCAACCCACGTCGCCCAGCTCCAGCCCATCGGGCCCACCGCGAGGCAGGTCGACGCCAGGCAGCCCTCGGGCAGCGACGCGATGTCGGGCGGGAGCCTGCGCGTGGCCCTCAGCAAGGACACGTCGACCGCGGGGAGGGCGAAGTACTCGGACAGCTCCCCCTCGATCGCGAGGTGGTAGAAGTAGTTCGCCAGGTCCGCCTGCGCGGCGTAGACCTCCTCGCCCTGCCCGAACTCGAGGTCCGCCAGCTTGCCCCCCGACGACGTGTTCATCTTCAGGCACCTCGCGAACCGCGCATTGACTGCCCTACAGTCCCACGCGATGCGCAACTGCCCAGACTTCTTCCGAACGAGGAAAGGCGTGACGAGATCCTGAGCGTTAGTCGAGTGCCTCAGAATGTTGGCACGGTCCAGCCGGGCCACGGAGTCCGCGTGCTTGCCGGGGCCCGAGGCGAGCGTCGGGCCCATGAAAAGGACGACCGGGGCCTCGCTCTCGCACCGCTGGCCGAACTCATCCTCAGACAACATCGTTCGCGACCGAAATTCCCGAAGGCAGCGTGCCCCCTCGGGGTCGAAAACATCAAGTGCGGCGGGGGGCTGCTCCAGCCCCTCCGGCTCCGCGATCAGCGCGGCATCATACCTGGCCACCGTACTTGGAAACTCTCCACTGTCGCAGGCGGGGTCGGAGCCGAGAAGCTCGCGGGCGACTTCTCGCCGCTTGGAAAAAGATGGCATTCCTGCGGGGAGAACGTGCCTCAAACTGTGCGCTGAGCCGCGGCCTGGGCCGCGCTCCTGTCCGCCCTTGGCGGCGCCGGCGACGAGGAGGAGGGCCCGCCGTTGGGCTCGTTCAAGGCATGGATATTCTCGCTGGCCCTGAGCCCCTCGGCACGCCGACGTCGCAGCCGCCGGCGAGCTGAATGAGAAAGCTGGGAGGCGTCCGGCGTCGCCTCGTCGAAAGTTGGGAGCGGGAAGAGCCCCCTGGGCACGCGCCGAGCCTCGCCACCCTGAGATGGAACTGGATAGCGAGGCTGCCGAGCGAGGGGGGAAGGCGGGCCCAGTCGCCGCCCCCGCGGCCCACGCCGCGTCATTTCTCGCCTGCGGCTTTGGCAGCCGCCGCGCCCTCTGTCTTGCCGCGACCCTTGGCCCTCGCGTTGGTCTCCTCCCGCGCCTTACTAGCGTCCTTCAAGATCGCCGACTCCTGCCTGAGCTGGTCGGCGACGTGGGTCGAGAGGCTGGGCGCGATGGCCGCGCCCCCCGCGCGGCGACTCCAGCCCGTGAGCTGGTCGGCAGCGCTGTTGTCGGGCTGGCTCGGCGAAACTCGGTTCGCCCCCTTGATCAGCGCGAGACGTCGCGAGGCCAGCTCCACGCACGGGAGAGACGGGGAGTTCAATTGATCCTGAATCGCCGCTGCGTCGAGGATGCGGCTGAGAACCTCATGCACGTAGATGCTCTGGTCCTCCGGCGGCACCTTGGAGAGGCACGCCCAATTCTCGTGTGAGTGGAAGGCACTGTTGCCGTTGTCCCGCACGTGCTTCATGAACCAGAGGACGGCGCGAGGGCCCTGAAGATCCCAAGGCATGTGCTCCTCCGACGACGAGTGGCCCAGCGCGTCGTCCCATGAGCGACGGCGCTCGCCCTGGACAGCATATCTGACAGCCAAAGTGCGAGCATCACCCTTGGCCAGCACCACCGCGTCCGCAGCGGAGAGCTGCGCCACCGCCGCCGAGACGCCCGCCACGTGGGGGAAGGCGCGGTCGCCGAGCACGAGGGCGCCGGGCGGAAGCTGGCGGCAAACGACGTCGCCCATCGAGTGGCCCCCCCAATCCTCCACGGCGTACCAGCTGAGCCCAGGTGAAACCACAAGCATGCCGCCCGGCGCGGCGGCCGCAGCGGCGGCGCCGCCTCCGCCCAAGCCAGGCGGGATGCCTAGCGCGGCGCCGGCGGCAGCGCCAGCGGCCGCGCCCGCGGCGGCGTCACCAGGGGGCAGGAGGCCTCCGCCTCCTGGGGCAGGCGGCGCCCCCCCCGCGGGCACCAAGGCCGCGGCCGCCCGGGCGGCAGCGGCACGCACGGCACGCCCAGGTTGTGAGCCCCGAGCATCGCGAAGGCGTCGATCATCGCTTGGGCCGGCGCCGCACGGAAACCATAGACCTGTCCAGCTGCGACCCCAGGCGGCACCTCCCTAGCGTACGTCCAAACGTGCACACTGACGAAGTCGAGCCCGACGGTGTACGACTCCTCGTAGTGGTCGAGATCGGGCGTGAGCCCATATGCATCGAAAGACCCTAGGCGGACAGCCAGAACCAACCTCACATGATACTCGGCAGGGCCCGGGACGCCACGGTACTGCACCATCAAATAGTCCCCTGCATTCAGCGCCATCACGCTCGAGATGCAGCACCGCGGCTCCGCACGAAGGACAGCTGCGCCCGAGCTTGCTCCTCAAGCAACGGGACCGCCTCCTTCACCACGACTGTCGGTCCAGCCTCGGACGCCGAGCGCCGTTCGACGGTCGGGAACCCCCACACGGCACCGAGCACGTACGCGGCGACGACCAGCAGCGTCAACACCGTCACCCCGCCGGCCACTGCCAGCGGCGACGGCGTCTCACAGACGCAAGTGGTCGCCGGCACAGCGGGGCAATGCAGGACTGGGGCGCAGGCTGGGCACGGCTAACCCGCACCCCACAATGCCGCCCCGGTGCTGACCCCGCGCGCGAGCTCGAGGATCGTGGCGCGGGCTACTTGCATAGCCGAAAAAACTTGAGCGATCGTGTCAATGGAACGATGGCGATAGGACGGCGGTGCTCCAACACCGCCGACAACATTCCCGAGCAAGCACATCCATGATGTTGATTCTGATTATGACCCTGATTATGATTATGATTATGATTATGATTGCGACGAGGAGGACAGAGGCGAGGAAGGGGAGTACGGAGAAGGGGAAGCAGGACGAGGAGAAGGAGGCGAGGGACGCGGGGACAGTTTCTTCAAAGAGAGGACCCAACACCACGGGACGGTTGGGGAATAAAATGCGACGGGAGGTTTCTGGCCGTTTTTTGGGCCTCCAGGGGGGCCTTCGCCTGGCCCACAAGGGCTTGGGGTGCTAAATTTGGCCCTCGAGAAGGGGTCGGAACACCTGGGGACCCGTACTGAATTAGAGCGTGAATTACCTCCCCCGCTTTCGCTTCCAGGCAAAACCAAGCCATACCACGCGCCTCCTCGTCAAGCGGCCTGACCAGTACAGGCCGGAATTTGGCATCGTTTGGTATCTCTTGGAAGCGAGGGTGGTCAAAAGCGAGGTAGGTTTGTTTTCCCCCGTACTGAAAGAATCAGCACATCGCATGTCGACGCCTGGAGGTGATGCTAGGAGGCAGCCTCTGGGAGGTCTTCGTGAGAACGAGAAACAGCGATCAAGCCTGATCAAGAGGCCATTGAGCCAGATTGGCCCAAGTTAGCCCCAGAATGGAACTGGATGGAGCGTGAAGGTACCGTCTGTTTGCTGACCACGGGTATACCAACGCCGATGCCGAAGTCTAACTTGCGGGAATTGCACCCTGAGTGGTGGATGGAGGTTTTGGGAGCGGAAGGCCGTGCTCTTCCTTTGGGCACCTGCTGCTGTGGTGGGGGGGGATCTTGGACCCTGAGACCCGACGCTGCGAAAAATTGCAGCATCGCGAAAGTTCACGGCTGCATGCCTGGACCCCATCCTTCTGGGCGTTTGTCGAGCTGATCGATCTGTGCTTGTCCCGGGGCCTAACACTGAGAAGCATTCGGGTCCCAACGGGACAGTTCAGATCCTGACAAATCGGTTCAGATCCTAATGGGTCTGAACACGGGAACAGCGAAACTTCTTTACGCGTCCAAGCGCTCGAAGCGCTTCGTAGACGCCTCCTCGAAGGCGCTTCCTCGGCTTCGTGCAGGATTCCTGTTGGTTCCCCTTCGGCTTCCTGAAAAATCCTTGGGATTGTTGCGGCAACCTGAAAGATTCTAGACGATTCGTGAACGATATCAAAAGATTCCGGACATGTCCTGAAGGCTGCCTGAAGGATGTCGGTGGAATTCCTAAGGACTCCTGAGGATTCCTCAAAGATTCCTGAGGGATTCTTGAAGGAATCCTGGGGATCAGGGGGTCCTGAAGTACTCGTGATGATTCCTGACGTATTCGGCTTCTCTGTGTTGTACTTATGTTGCGCAGTCGTTGTAATATGGTGCGTCGATACCCGTTGCCCTAGCCAACTCAACCTGCCAACCCAACCAGCCAGCCAGCCAACCAGCCCAACAGCCACCCAACCATCCCGTCACCCAGCCACCCAGACAACTACTCTCAGGTCGGGAATGTCCCCCCTACAGGCAGACTGTGGACGGCAGATTCGCAATACCCTAAACATGCACCAGTAAGGCGCAAGCATGATAATAACTATTCCTCCTGCAGAGGGACAGGTCCGATGCAAAACTGCCCTGCCATCCAACCCGCCAGTCATCCCAGCTGTCCGCCCCGTCCCCCCGCAGACCCGCTCACTCCCGCCGCCTGCCCTCCGTCACCGCCCAAACGGGGGGACAGACATTTTTTACCAGCGAAAGCAGTCGGCGGTGGACAAGCCACCCTTGAGCAAGCCTCCCTCTCGTAAGAACGGCCTAGGACCGAAATCGACGGACCTGGACCCGCAGAACTGACGGCCGCGACGCCCTCTGTCGAACCGCAAACGGCCAATTCGCTAATCGATGTGTCAGGGTAGGAGGTCTATCAACCTCCGAAACAAACAAAAGAACAACTCCTGGGGCCCGGCGGGACGTCAATGAGAAAGCATGTTGCTCTGTACCGTGGGGGGCACAGCTTCACACCGCGGTGCATGTCCGCCCGGGGCGGTTTTGGGCGTCAAATGCGATACTGCCGTCACATTATTTATCTTCACCACACCTCCTTCCTCAACGGAAAGGCGCACATCCTCGAAACTGTCGCCACGTTTGAAGTCCCGCGCGGGGCTTCTTAGAGGGCCCCCCAAGAACGGTCTGGGGAAGCCAAATCGCATAGCAAGGCGGGTGGCCACTCCTTGGAGAGGTCTCTGTCGGGTGGCACTCGACAGCCAAGCAGGATTTACTGCAATGTGCAACTGGCTATCTAGATGGAGCGAAAGGGGGATGGGGGAGGAGCAGGGTGCATTTGTTCAGCACTTAGGCAGCAGGCTGATGTTAGGATTCCTGGGAACGCTACTTTGCTCTCGCCGATGGCGTTTGGCTTAAGCCATATTCGCCTCCAGGAAGCATATTGTCAGAAGAGGATACGCAACCTGAACTACGACATCGCGCCAAACAACTGGATATGCGTCCTGACATGACCCCGAGATGGCCACAACAGTACCCAATGTGACCCCCCCCCACATGTGACCTCGATATGGGCCGAATATGTTCCCAACTTACCCCAATATGACCTGCAGACGACCTCACTATGGGTCCACGATGGCCCCACGATGGTCCAAACACGACCCCAACGTGACCCCACAATGACCCAACTATGGCCCCATGACGGTGATGGTGATTTGCATCGCTGTCCCAAGCTTCTTTTTTGTAGTTTCTCTGGGGGATCCTGGGGGATCCGTGAGAACCCTGAAGCATCGCCGGCAGCCCCGAGGAATCGCAAGGGTTCCTGAAGAACCCTGAACAATCCAAAAGAGTGGTGTGGGCCCTTGACAAATCCACAAGGACCCTGAGGAACCCTCAGGAACCATGAGAACTCCTGAAGACGCCTGAAGAATTGTCAAAGAGTCAGAAGGGTCTGTCAGATCCTGAGGAACCCTGAGGAGCGCTGATGAACCCTGAAGGATACCGAGGAACGCTGCGGAGAACTGAAGAATTTGGCGGGCACCTGCGGAACCAGGGGGGCTCCCAATACATCTTGAGAAATTCTGTGGGGTCCCGAAGAGTCCTCAGGGACCCTGGGGATGCCGTGAGGGATCCTCAAGAATCCTGAAGAACCGCGGAGAAACTTCAAATGTCCAGAAGAACCCACAAGAATCACGTGGGATCTCTATGAATCCGGAGGCAGCTTGAGGAATGCTGATGAACCCTGAGGGACCCTGCAGAATCCTGAAGAATCTGGATGCACCCTGAAGGGTCTACAGGAATCTCGAACACTCCTGCGGAATGCGGACGGATCCCCAGGAGTCCCGAAGAACCCTGAGGAAGCTGGAGGAATCCAAATTGATCCAAGAGAATCCTAAGGAATCCGGGCGAACCCTCAAGAATCCATTGGAATCCTGAAAAGCCTTGAGGCATTTTGATGAGTCCGGATGGAACCTGATGGATCCATAGAGATCCAAATGACTCCTGAGGGACCGTGGGGGACCCTGAGGAGGCCCAGGGAACCCTGCTGACGAACCCTGAGGAGTCTTGAGGAACTCAAAGGGAACCTGAGGAGTCGTGCGGAATCCTGAAGAAGTCTGAAGATGTGCTTTCTACTTGTAAATAAAAAAGAGCCCGAAAGGGTCCTGAGCGACCCTGAGGAATCCTGAGGAGTCTTGACAACTCTGGAGGAACAATGAAAACCCAAATGCAAGGAATCCGAGGAAACCTTGAGGATCTCGAAAGAAGAAAACATCGGAAATCCTGGGGTATGCTCAAAGATCTTTGGGAATCCTGAGGAACCCTGAGGGACCGTGAAGAACCCGTAGGGGCCCTGAAGTATCCTGAGGTATCTAGAACAATCCGTGGCAATCCTCACGAATCTGGAAGAATCTGCGGAATCCTGAGGGGATCCGGAGGAATACAAAGCAACCCCAAGGATTGAACGGAATCCCCAAAAATAACCCATCGGGAGCAGAAGTCCCACCTATGGGGTTGATGGGGTTGTTGGTTGCCGGGGGCGGGGGGTCTGGGCCACATGGTCCCGTCCCAACCAACCAACAAGAAGGCAACAATAAGATCACCAACACGAAGAGCAATCCGCACCGCGTAACCCCACTTCAGCTGCTCACCCCGTGTCAGTGCAATACTGTTTGGCCAGATTAATTACTCTGATAAGCCACACCTGCTTCGTCTTCTACTGCCTCATTTTTTGGAAGCACGCGGCACCACACGCCCGCATGATTTCTGAGAAGCATTTGGATTATATTGCATGTAGAAGACCCACCTGCGCGAAGTAAATTTAAATGTACTTGCGACCCGCACGCCGTTCAACTTATGTACACGAGCTGAGTCGGACGCACACGCGGCCAAAACCTGCTGGCACCGACAAACAAATATGGCAGGCTCTCTCTCTCCTGGCATGCGAAAATCAACAATGAGGCACCAACGGCCGATGAACATGCAACGTAGCCCGTGGGATATCCATGATCCTTCCAATAGGTACGTAATAGCTGGCTGTGCTGGCGCCCCTTCCCCGAGATCCGAGGATGCGAAAGAACGCGCCAAATCGAACAACAATCACGACTGGAGCCCCGGACCCCACCGTCCTGCCAACTTCGTCGAGCTGGATCGATCTGCGATGGCCCCGGGGCCCGAACCCGGGCGAAAACGCCTGCACCGCCTGGACGTCGGGGTTGGGCAGAAGTGCCGGGCCCGGCTCACCCCAGGGCGTCGGCGATCGCCCGACGTGCCTTGCCGTACCTGTCCATGTGGCGCAAAATGCTTTCGTGCAGCTCGGTGTGGCTCCTCCCCCCGCTCCAGACCGTGTAGCCCGCCCGGAGCATCAGCATCTCCGCCGCGCGGTTGGCGATCTCGACGGGCCCCTCGAACGCCTCGTCGAACCGGCCCGTGCCCCACACCTCCTTGAGCCCGAAGGCGATCGCCGCGAGGATGGTCATGAGGTCGTCGTCCCCGGAAGCACGGGCCTGCTTTTAAGTCGGGCCCGTACCCCTACGTACAGGGGGATTTTGGATGAAAATAAAAAAAACATCCCAAATATACCCCCAAATAGTCACAAAATAATCAAAAAATTGTCCCCCGACTATTTTCGAACTATTTTTGAATTTCCTCCCGTAGAGGGACAGACCCGACTTAAGCCTGCTTGTAGATGGCGCCCACCGCCTCCCCGATGCGCTGGTGCACCGCCTGCTCCGTCCACTCGTCGTCGAGGTAGGCGCTTATGGCCAGGTTCAGCCACCCGGGGTCGTCGTACTGCATGGGAGGGAGGATCCGCAGCAGTGTCCTTTTCTCGGCCCACTGGCTTGACGCGGCGGTCCAAGATGCCACAGATGTGGCTCCAAGATTGCTTCAGAGGCCCCCCAGAGGCCACAGGGGCAACCCTTCCGGGCCTCTTTTCCTGAGGCCAGGGGCTTCCAAGACGAGCCAAGCGAGCGAGGCGCCCTGACACATCGCCGCGCGGCGCCCTGGGGCTGCGAGGCATGTATTTTCAGGCGCCGACGCGCTGCTTCGACACGTCAGCCCCCGGTGCCCAGATGTGCTCGCGGCGGAAGAACATCACGACGGCACAACTTCGTCCGTATTCGGCCTCCGGGAGCCCTTGCCAAGCCTGGACCGTCACAAAACAAACCACTCGGGAGGAAAACCCGGCGCCAGAGAGAGCGTCGGGACTGCCGGGGGGCCCTCAGTGAAAAAGTCAAGACAACGGATGGCGTGCACTGCCCCCCCGCCCCCTCCCCCCCTTCCCCTCTGCTCTGCCCCGCCCCTCTGCCTCCTGGGCTGGCGCGTTGGCGGATATGCGCCGCAGCGCAGCTGGATAAGTCCAACAGCCTGCCCGCTGCCACGGCACGTCCCGCACCTCTTGCCGTGAAAGGGACGAGAGGGGCCCTGAGGAAGATGAGTAATTTGTTGACGGGTGTATTGGGGTACGGCGTAAAGAAACTGTAGATACGTTTGGGCCGTCCTTATGGACGTCTTCGTTGGCCGAAGAACCAGGTCCGGAATGCTCTGGACTGGGACAATCTTTGTTCCATCCCGAGTCGTCTTCTGACGGCCTCGACAAGGCGACGATGGGCAACAAACGTCCAGGACCCAGACTCGACGATCGGATTTTCGCAATCCGCGGCCCCAAAGGCCCCGACCGCTCCACTGGGGCTTGAGGGCCCTGGGGCCTGGAAGCGACCCCTAGAGGGCGACATCGATGGAGAACTCCCGTTGAACGAATCATGCCGTCGGACAGCTGGACCCATCGATCTCCCCTATGGCGGCAGACCGCCCGCCGCCGCGGCCCCAGACATGCGACGACTTGGTATTTTCAACATGGGGTCTTCCGGAAGCTCCGACCCTTTCCCCGTGACAAATGTTTCACCTCGAGGCGTTTTTTGACTGCACCAGGGCCCGGCGAGGGCCCCCGGAGGCCGAACACAGCCTCAAACCTTCCGTCGCGCTTTCTTGACAGAAATCCCAGGTCTTGATTTTGGTTGATAAAAGGTCACCCGCAGTCCCGACCCTCTCCCTGGGGCCGGTTTTTCATCCCGAGCCTTTGTTTGACGGTCCCAGAGTTAGGTCGGGCATGTCTCTATACAGGCGAACCTTGGGCGAAAAATTAAACATACTAGAAAAATACCGGAACATGGTCAAAAATAGTACAGTCGGGCCGCTGAAAGAAGGAACGCTAAATAAGGAACGAAGCCCCTCCTTGGCCCTGTAAGCGCCTCCGTGCCTCAGGAGGGCAAGAGGAACAGCACTGGAGGAACCTAAGGAACATCGAGCCCCTTCCAAACCCAAACTGTTCCTTACTTCAGCGTCTTGACTGTGAAAACAGTCGTCCCCAGACAATTCTTCGACTATCTTTGAATACTCCCCCTGTCGAGGAACAGGCCCGACTTCATCCCAGAGGCCGGCGGGCACCCCCCGAGGCAGCAACCGGCCACGAGCAACCTCCACACACGCTGGAGGTCCGGGGCGCTCCACGGCGCGAGCATACGTCCGGGGCCTGTCCCGCCAAGAAGGCCTCTCGGATGGGGTCCGAGCAGATGGGGTCGGAGGATCTCGCCGCATCGCCGATACATCGGCGATGCATCGCCGAAGCATCGGCGATGTATCCAAGGAGCGCGGAGCGCGAATAACTTCGCGCACACGCGCCGCCCCCCCCCCCCAAGGGAGAAAAGGAGGACGAGGAGGAGGGGGAGAAGGAACGAGGACCGCGAAGCGCGGAGCGCGAATAACTTCGCGCCCTCGTGGGATCCCTTGTGCATCGGCCGTGCACTGACGGCGTCGGCGATGCATCGGCGACGTCGGCGTGGAGAAAAGCCACATCGAGCCGCGTCGCGGAGGCATTGCCGATGCATCGGCGACGCGGCGAAATCCTCTGACCCCATCTACAGTAGGAGCTAGACCACAAGAGACCTTCCACAAGAAACCTAACCCTGAGACCCCAGGACGTCCATTGATTTTTGGTGTGGGAGCGTCGAGCTCTTCACATCGCAAAACCCTCGACACCCAAGAGACCCAGGGCCCCCTGGAGGCAAACTGGGTGTTTCTTGGCATGGGTTTCCGCTGTACTCCGACCCCATCCCCAGACCTCCGACGTCGTGATTTTTTCGCAATGTCCCCCCCCCGAGGTCTGGACCCCTTCCCGGAGACCGGCTTTTCATCCCGAGTCGTATTCTGACGGCCCCGAGGCCTGGGACGGACCCCCGAAGCCGAGAATAGCGAAAAACCCTCCCGTCGCGATTTCTTCGCAACTCGAGGCGGTCGAAAAACCTCTAGGAAGCCTTAGACCCTCGTGCACCACCTCGCCGCTCGCTGGTGGCCGGGCCGCTGCGGCCAGGCGCCGCCCCGCGCCCCGCCCGCGAACGGGCGCGCGCCTGGCCCAGCGGCGGGCCACAGCAGCAGCGGCGGCAGCGCCAGCAGCCAGGCGGCCGGGCGCGCCAGCGGCGGCGCGCGGCGGCCCCGCGCGGCCTCGGGCTTCGCCGAGAGCGCCATGGCACCAGGCCCAGGGGAGGACAAGGTACCCGTGCCACTGCCCCTCCTCCCGCTTCCCCCTCTCGGGCCTTCTGGGCTGCCCCTCGTCGCCACCGCTGAGAACCGACGTCTCAGAAAAGTTGAGACGCCGCGAAACATCGAGCCCGGAGCCCTAGACCCTATCTTCCTGCGCCATTTTTCGAGCCGGATCGATGCGTGAGGGCCCGGAGGCCCGAAATTACGCGAAAACGCCCGGCTCGAAAAAATTGAGTCGCCAGGATCTCCGGGACCGCCGGATTCGCCTCGAAACTCTGGTCAGAGCGCACCCCTTGGAGAGGTCCGGGGAGCAGCGGCATCGGTACCTTCTGGTTTCCCCGCGGGCACAGCTGGCGCCCGCGGGGCTCGCCATCGCTCGGACGTCCCCTCCCCGTACATGTTGTCGGCTTCGTGCGCGTATTTTCTCGCAGGAGGATCCGAAGCTCCTCGATGGTCCTCGCCGAGAGGAGATGCACACGTCCGAGCGATGCCAAGGGGGGGGCTGGAAGAACAACACGCGCACAAGCCGAAACCTATATAAGGACCCTGAGATCCTGGCGATGCATGTTTTTCACAACGGGCGTTTTCGCCCAATTTCGGGCCCCGGGACCCTCACATGTCGATCTGGCTCGAAAAATGACGCAGGAAGATGGGGTCCGGGGCTCCGGAGGTGCTTTTTGTTGTTCTGATGTTGCAACTTTTTCCACCGTCGGATCTCAGGTGAGGAGGATTGGGAAGGGCAAGGAGGTAAGGGCGCTGTAGGTATGGGTGCGGGTTGTCGGCACCTCCGCGCAAGAGGGCAGGCGGCGGACTCGATCTCCAAGGAAGGGCGGGCCCCTCGAGAGACCCCGCCACATGTTCTTCGGGGAGGCTCCCACCGTTCCTCGATCGTCGGCGAGCGAGGGGGGGAAGTGAGAAGGAGAAGGCCTTCTCAGGAGGTTCGGAAGTTCCTTGGCCTTCTGAAAATTGTCCTGAGCCTTCCCCGAAGACCAAACAAAACTTCTCAAACGGCGCGAGGGCTTCTGGGAAGTCCCGCCGCCTTCTGAGAAGGTATTCTCCTTCTCCTTCCCCCCCTCGCTCGCCGCCGACTCGAGGTACCCACTGACAAACAAGCGCAACGATGCGACTCCGATGCGCTGCGCTGCCGCACAAACCGATGGAGTGCAGGGCAGCGCACGGCATCCAAAAGCACAGTGAGGCAAGACGGTGCCAAAGACGGCGGTGCAGCACTGTGCAGCGCGAAGCACGCACACCAAGGCAGCTCAGAGCAGAGAGCATGCACACCAAGGCAGCTCAGAGCAGAGAGCCGCACAAGGCTTGTATGGTCAACTTAGACGTGGAACTCTCGGGGATAAGAAGGGTGCGGGGACGGGTGCGCCGAAGGGTGATCGAACGGGTGCGCGAGCGACGCGCGCAGCCACCGTCTGGAACTAAACCTTTTGCAGTTGCGGTGACATGTTCACCCGCATGTGCTCGACTTTAGTTGTTCTTTCGTTGTAAGATTCAGTCCGCAGTTGCCCTGTAAGATTGTCCTGTGCCCTGTGACAGGGCACAGCAAAGCAGCCCAATCGAACCAGCTCGGCGAACTGAAAGCAAAGCACAACGCAGACAAGCATGACCGTCGAGAGCACAGTGGAACCCGACGTGCGCCAACCCTGAGCAACAGTGCTGCATGAGAAGACACACGGCGCATCAACATCGACATACGCGTGCACGGCAAGGCATGGTATAGGGGGCAAACAAACCTACCTCGCTTTTGACCACCCTCGCTTCCAAGAGATACCAAGCGATGCCAAATTACGGCCTGTACTGGTCAGGCCGCTTGACAAGGAGGCGCGTGGTATGACTTGGTTTTGCCTGGAAGCGAAAGCGGGGTAGGCAATTCACGCTCTGATGGCACGTGGGCACGGCAGGGCTCGGCCCGAGGTGGGACCCCGCTCGCCTGCATGCACACGCCGCCGCCCCGGTGCAGCTCTCGCACTCGGAAGGGCCTCGCGAGCGGCGGCCCTCAACACGGAGCCCCCAAAGGCCCAGGCAGGGCACGACTCGCTACGACACGGCACGGCTCGGCTCGGCACGGCTCGGCTCGGCACGACAGGGCACGGCAATGCACGGCACGGCAGGGCAGGGCACGGCAAAGCACGGCCGGGCAGGGCCGGGCAGGGCAGGGCACGGCAGGGGCACGGCACTGGCGCGGGCACGGCCACGGCACGCCCCAGACCTTCGGACCACTGGGCCCTCTTTTGTGGAGGCCCTGGGGCCCTCTGGGCCTCGTGAGGGGTGCTCTGGCGGCCGTGGGGGCCTCCCTGGGAATGCTGGGGGCACCCCGGGGCACTTCTAGCAACGCCCGATCTTCAGGTGCGCCACCCGAGCCCTTTTTGTTGACGGCCCCGAGGCCCAGCGAGGGCCCCCGTAGGCCGAGCTCGGCCCCAAGAACGCCCGCTCCACCTCTTTCTTGGCGCGTCGTATCTCTGGGGCGGGCGGCACGTGTTTCGCTGCCTGGAACGCGGGGCGCAGCCTGGCACGGCACGCGGGCACGATCCGGCTCTTTCCTCACATTCCAGCAGCCGCGCACGGCACGGCACGGCTCCGCTGTTTTTTCCAAGAGGAGTACTCTGTGGGGGGGGACCCCCCTCGACGGGGGTCAACCTCGCCTCGTCCTCGCGCCGCGACGGGGGTCGGAGCGCCTTAGGCGCGCGGTGGCTTCCCGCGACGGGGGTCGAGGTGGGGCTGTCGGCGGGGATGACGCCCCCCCCGACGCTTATTAAGAAACTCGGAGTAAGCAACGAGTTCTCACAAGGCTCGCGGGAACGCTGGCGACATGTGGCGTTCAGGGGGCAGCACGCATTCCTGCTACGTGGGGCCGCTTCTGCGCTTGTGTCGCTGCCCCCCCCCCTCTGGAGACCCTGCCGCGTGAGGCCCCCTGATGTTCTGCCGTCTCGCTGCTGTCTCTCCTCTTCTGTCGCTCGCCCTGCCTCTTGGCTCCTCTCTTCTCTCTCCCGTTCTGTCTGCGTGCCGGGGGGGGCCTACGACGCCACACACCTTCGGGGTGCCCTCGGCCCGTTGCCGCTCTGGGTGGGCCCGAGGCCCCATCGGAACGACACCGAGCGGCCAAGAGGGCAGAAACGGCCTCCAGGACAAGGCGAACGAGTCCTCGAACCTGTCCAAGGTGGCTTCAGGAACATCGCGCGCGCTTCGCGTGCGCGGCAGTTCCACCTGTGTGTTAAGCCTCGAGTAGAGGAGGGCAAGAAGGAGCAGCAGCAGCATGCATGGGGGAGAAGGAGGGGAAACTGCAAGGGCGAGGGATCCTTGAGGATCGAGGGGCGGCATGCTTGGACGTTCTGGGGCCCTCCTTGTTCTCGGCAGGCCTCTGGGGCACCTTCGGAACCCTCCCGGGAGTTCCGGGGAGGAGGGGAACGAGCGGGAGGGCGACGCTAGGGAGGAACACGAGTGGCATTGGCAGGAGGGAGAGGAGCCTTTGGAAAGGGAGGGAGGACGAGGTTCTGGCGAGGAGGGGAAGGGGCGGGAGGGCGAGGCTAGGGAGGACCGCGAGTGGCCTTGGCAGGAGGGGCAGGAGCCTTTGGAGCGGGAGGGGGGAGGACGAGGAGGGGCGGGAAAAGCGGGAAGAGTAGGAAGAAGAACCATGAAACTGTGGATATGGAGATCCGGCCAATCACTTCAACTGCACTGGACTTTCAGCTTCTTGGCGAGCTCAGCTTTGACGTATACGTTGGGCGAGACCCTACAAGAGATCCGACCAAATGAACCTCGACGACTACCTCCAGTCAATTTGGGAGGCTCCTGGACCGCATGTGCAAACTGCTGCACAAATCTATTGTTCTGGGCGCCTTTGACATGAATTCGCCCTCTGGAGACTCCCTCGTGAACACGGCTGGAGCCGGCTCGGACGTCTGGTTGGAGCGCCACCCAGGGCCGGTCCAGAGGTTGATCTCTGAGCGAGGAGGCGCTTCAGGAAAGCTACGAGAAGGTTGATCTAGAGGTCATAAGTTTGGGGTCATCCAGTGGAGGTTGATCCAGGGGTCATGATCCAAAGGTCATAACTTTGAGCTACGTTCTCTGAGTAAGGACGTTGATCCAGAGGACGTTCTCTGAACGAGGAGGTTGATCTCAAGGTCATACTTTTTCCGAACGCGCTGCGCTTCAGGAGAGCTTAGAACCGAATCGATCCGTCGGATCGGCGATCGAAATAACTCGGATCGGCGGATCTCGGCAATTTCGCCGAGACAAAACGAAACGACGGAAACTGACCGGCTGATTCGGCCTCCGTAGTCGCATCGGATCGGAATCGATCGACGTCGACTCTCACCGAGTCGGAAAAATCGAAACGAGCCCTGCACCCGCGGCGCTGCAACTTGTTCTCTTCCCGCCTCCACCGTGACTCGCACCCGCGAGGCGAGAACGGAGGGCTCCGCACGGGCGCCTGGAGAGGCCACTTTCACTGTGCCGCGGCCGCTCCGCTGCGGGTGGCATCTGCTAACCAGCCTCGATCCGATCCGATCCCCACCCCTGAGATTGACAGGCCCGAAGGCGATGAGGATCTTGGGGATGCGCCTTCAGATACTCAGGGAATCCTTACCACCAGCATCAAGATCATGTGATGCCAATCATAAGGACACGGATATGTTCCAGGCTGGTCATCTGCGTCCCTACTCCTGGATGTCCTCTGTGAGGAACTCCACCCACGTGATCGTGGAGTTCACGGTGACGGCCACGCACATGACCCTCATGAATATCAGCAGTTGCCTGTACGGTGGGCCCTCAGGAGCCCTGACCACGGCCGAAGTCAGCAACAACATCGCATGACAATATAAAAACGGCATGAGCTCTTCAAATGACATCTGGTCGGAGCGCACCGTCAATCTGAAATGCTTTGCCATCTCAATGCTGAAATTGTATGCGCTCATGGCGCCACACCAACAACATAAGGTTATAAACAACACACCTCGCCAAGATGGTGTGTCGCCAGACGTTTTTTTCCCCATCTGGCAACGCGCACGTTTGTAAAACTTGTTCCGGGAAGGGAGGAACGATAGTCCAAACTGTTCGTCCTTCCACATCACAATCTGAATGAACGAAGCGCCCGTGTACAACGCAGATCCGAAGCCGAAACACAGATGACCATAGCTAGCGGCGCGCGTCAGAGACCCAACTAAAAAACAAACTCCCCCGATCGTGTTGATGGATCCAACTATCAAGCCCAGACGCGAATAGCCCTTTGCCTCAGCCTCAATGACTTGGAAATTCTGCTTGCACTCGATGAGTCCACCAAATGTGAAGCAGAGGGAGCCCACGATGAAGGACCACCTGAGCACAGCGGCTTCGAGCATGTGCGGCAAGAGGCCCACTGGCAAGAACTCCATCGACATGCCAAGAATGAAAAACAGCACACCGACAAAATATACGAGCGCCGTGTAATACGACAGCGGGGATGCCCCCGCTTTTTTCAGCCTTTCAATCGCCGTCTCGCGCCTGAAGGGGTTCCAATAAAACTCTTTGTCCTCGCCTTTCTGTGGAATGGCACCCGCATCACCCCTGGAGGCGCCGTCGCCGTGGCTGGCACTGAAGTTGATGGTCTCCAGGCACATCAGGTAAGTGCACACGAGGAAGTTGACTTTCCCATAGATGTAGCCCCAGAGCGTTGTGGCTTTGTAGGTGGTTGGGCCCAGGGTGTCCTGCATGTTGTACAGGAAGGAGCTAATGCAGAAGAAGATCGAGCCCTCGAAGAACGACACCGAGATCCAGTACGACATCGTGCGGCTCCAGACCCACTCCTCCCATCTGAGGGACATGCCCGTGAAATTCGCGGCGAAATTCTTCTCGTTCTCCAACCTCGGGAGCCACACGGCACGGGAAGCCACACATGCGGAATGCCATGACTCGCTGTGGGCCCGTGTGCGCTGGCTCCTGCCCGTGCTCCTGCCTCTCCTGGCTCCTGCTCCCTCCTGGTCATCCTGCCTTTCCTGCTCCTCTCCTCCTCCTCCTCCTCCTCCTCCTCCTTCTCCTCCTCCTCCTCCTCCTCCTGCTCCTCCTCTCCTCCTGCTCCTTCTCCTCCTCCTCCTGCTCCTCCTCCTTTTCCTTCCTGCGTAGAAAGCCACGGAACCTCGCGCATTTTCTTCACCCAGAAGAGGCCTTCAAAAACTCCTCCCTGCTCCTCGGCCCCCTCCTCCTTCCGCTCAAGTCAGCGGCTCGAGGACACATTTCGTGTCGTCTTGGCCCTGGGATCGCGTCCCCATTGTCTCGATTTGACTGGAGTGGCCCGACGGAAGGCGCTTCTCCCGGTGACAAAGGGGGCGGGGCGAACTATCTCAAGCATGCATGGCAGAAAGATACATATAGATGTCCTTGGCTGTCGGCTGGGTTTGCTTCACGGTCGTTGTGAAACGAAATTCGTGCTCTGTTGCTGATGATGGACATCGGGAAATTCACGTGCCAACCGTCCGTACGCTAAACCGTGCAAGCTCTGCAAGGTGGCACTGCAATTTTGCCATTTGACTTGGTTTGCTAGCGATCAATTGATATGCACATCAATCAACCGTCATGGCATGGTTGGTGGTTGCCTGCGTCCGCTTTGACTTTGCTTTGCAGTGTTAATTGCAATGCGTCTCAATGACATGTCAAGGCTTCCTTGTGGCTTGCGTTAACGCTTATTCGTTTGTGTCGCACTTGGTGGGTACGCGCTGCATCTCTTTCGCTATCGCGTCAAAACACTAACTCGGCCGCGCGATTGTCAATATATCGTTTTTTTTTCATATGTGCTGTGTATTACGCATCATATATATATATATACATACACACATATCTATATCCATGTGTGTGCGGTTGGTTGCGTGCGAATATTGTTTTTTTGTGGGGTCCGCCCTCAAAATGCGACACACACAGTCATTAACAAGTCCTGCATTTATGTGTGCTCAAGGACCCGAAAGCAATCCTTCAGTAAGTATGTGAGCTTGTAGCTGGCCCCTGTGCTGCTCATCCTTCTCGTCCTGCTCGGCGCTGCTAGGCCGTCCTCTGTCCCGAAGTCTCTGGCGGCCTTAAACAAGAACCCTCCCCCCCCAACCCTTGGGCCTGGATCCCCTGGCTCCGCCTCCTGCCGCCTTGGCTTTCTGGACCCCCGCCTTGGGTCACGATGCCCCAAGCGGCAGACTGGCCCTGCTGCGAGGGCGGGGGAAGGGAACCAGGGGGGGCGAGAGGCCCTTCCTCCATCCTCGTCCTATTTCTCCTCACGTGCATCCTCACTCTCCTGCCCCTTTCATCCTGGTCCTCCACCTACACTCAGGGATCCCTCCTCGACCGCCCTCTCTTCTGCCTCCACCCCTGTTCCATTTGTCCCCACCTTCCCTCATGATCCTTGCCGTTGCCCTCCTCCTCGTCCTGCGCTGCATTCCAGGGAACCCCTCGTCGGTGAGCTCGCCCCGGGCCCCCGTGGAGTCCCCCTGCCGCCACGCGGTGTAGCGGTCCACGTAGACCTGCGCACTGGTGTGTAGCAACAGACCGTTGGCAGCGACGGTGGCACCAGCCGAGGAATGTGAGCGCTGAGGCGCCAGAACAACACGCGAAGCCAAGACTGGCGCGGTAGTGGTACAATGTAGTATGTTGTGGGGCGCGATAGTAAGCTGAGGACGGGCGTTGTCGGGTTCCCTCGTTGTTTTGTATGTTGTGTCGCTGGTGGTTGCGATTGCGATTGCTGTTGTCGCCGTTGCTGCTGCGGTTGTTGTTGCTGTGACTGATTATCATACGTTGGATTTTGAATTCAAGAGCAGAATTTACTCCACCACATCTTGTGTCGCAGGCAGCATATTCGATATGACATCCAGCTTATTCTGCACATCCTGGCTGTTTGCGATGTGCCACTGTAGAGAGCAAGCTGCTTATATTATGTTATGGTCGATTGATCACGAGTAACTGCTGTTGTGCTACTCGGTATGGTTGCAAGTCGCTGGAGGAAAACTGCAAGTAATTGGCATCACGTAGCACGTAACAAAGCGCGCATCGGTATGTGGGCGGGTCGGTCGGCAATCATGAGTAGCGGCAATCGCAATGGCACGATTGAATACGGCTGGGGGTCTGCGTGTTTTCATTAAGTTCTGCATCCATGTTCAATTTTCTATGTTGCTTGAGACTGGCTTCGTGTGGAAGCGTGAAAGCAATAGTGTTGAAGCGGCTGGGCAAGCTTCAGGCTAAATCCGAACGGCGTTGGTTAGTCTAGGTCGGGCCTGTCCCCCTACAGCCGGCTTTGGGACGAAAGCAAAGGACACGCTGAATATTCCCAAAATGCTCAAACAGAGTCTCAAAATCGTCCCCCGGCCGTTTTTTCATATTTAAAAGAATAAGGGACAGGCCCGACTTAAGGTTAGTCCAACGCCTTGCGGTTCACCAGAATTATTGCACGCCGTGCCCGCGTTCCCCGCCCCCCCCGGCCGCAGTCACTCCCGCAGGATCTGCTAACCACCGCCGCGCGAGCCACTCGCGCGAGTCGGCCGCGCGATCATGCCGAACCCTTTTTCCCAAAACTTTCATCGCCGACGCGAGGGCATCGTCATCGTTATCAGCGGGCGTGATCAACATCGGCGACGTCACTGTCTTTGCCATTGTCATCGCCATCGTGGCCAACATCATCGCTGCTTTCGTCATCGTGTCAATCGTTGCCGGCGTCGCAATGATACCGAGCCCGCCCAAATCACCGACTCGCAATGAAGTGCCCGCTGGGAAGTGCCCAACGAGCATGCGCGGGCTAGTGCGGCCGCAAAACTGCACCAGCCAACGCCAAGCACCCATCGCAATCGCCATCGCATGGGTTTTACAAACCAAGTTGCGGGCGGGTGGGTGGGATGATTGCGCGAGCAGTGGACTTGTCAACTCACTGCGAACATTCGTGAATTCTCGTTTCTAAGAAGAGAATAGACTCTACCCCCCCCTTGTGTTGACGGGTCAATCTTTTCGTTTTGCAATTTAAATATGATTCTGCCCCATCGTCCAATCTAAATATGAATTCATACAATCCCAGCCGATCCGGTATCGCCCCCTCCCCCGCCATCCTCTGACAAACAAAATACTGCGCGCGCGCACTCATTCATCAAAAGTCATAAGTTCACAAGAGCTCCTTGCAACAAATGGGACGAAGTGCGCACGCGCGCGTCGTCGCGCGCGCATACCTAAATCCTTCAAACACCTTCGGTGTCGGAAAGATTTCGCAATCGAGCTTCCACAAAACATATTAAAAAAAACGCGTGGTTTCGCAACACAGGTTGGCTAGAACAGCTTACGCGCGCGCTCTTGCGAAATCTGAAGAAAACCATGCGTTTTCAAGATTCCCCCAAAAAATACTACCAAACGGGCTTCGCGCGCGCACGTCGGGATCTTTCGAACGCCCTTGCGCGTGTGCCGTCGCGAGAATCCTCTGCAACAAACGGGACGAAGTGCAGACGCGCGCGTCGTCGCGCGCGCATGTCGAAATCCTTCAAAGACCTTCGGTGTCGGAAGGCTTTCAAAATCGTGTGTCCAACAAAAAGAACATTCAAAAACACAAGGTGTTGCAACACGGATTTTCAACAAAAGCGTGCGCGCGAGCTCTTGCGTCGTCGTCGTCGTCGTCGCCGTCCTCCCTCCTCCCGCGTCGTCGTCGTCGTCGTCGCCTTCGTCGTCCTCTGTCTTTCTTTGTGTTCGTCGTCGCCCTCTTTGGCGTCGTGGTCGTTTCCGTCGTCGTTGTCGCCGTGTTCGTCCTTCCTCCTCTCCCTCGTCGTCGTCGTCGTCGTCGTCCGTCGTCGGCGTCTCGTCGTCGTCCATCATATTTCGTCGCCGTCGTCGTCGTCGTCGTCGTTGGCTTTTCTCCTCCCTCGTCGTTGTCGTCGTCGGCGTCGCCGTCCTTCCTCCTTCTTCGTCGTTCGCGTCGTCGCCGTCCTCCCTCCTCCCTCGTCGTTGTCGTCTTTCTCGCCGTCGTCGTCCTCCCTCCTACCTCGTCGTCGTCGTCGTCGTCGTTGGCGACGTCGTCGTCGTCGGCGTCGGCATCGGCATCGTCGTCGTCTTCGTCGTCGTCGACGTCGTCGTCGTCGCCGCCGTCGTCGTCGTCGTCGTCGTCGTCGGCGTCGTCGTTGTCGTCGTCGTCGGCGTCGTCATTGTCGTCGTCGTCGGCGTCGTCATCGTCGTCGTCGTCGTCATCGGCGTCGTCGATGTCGCTGTCGTTGTCGTCGTCGTCGTCGTCGTCGTCGTCGAAGTCGTCGGAGACGTCGTCGGTGTCGTCGTCGTAGTCGTTGTCGTCGCTGTCGTCGCAGTCGGTCTTAAGAGGTTTTGCAAACCAAATTGCGGGTGGGTGGGTGGGATATTTGCAAGAGCATGGGATGTGTCAAATCATTTGTAAAAATCAATTGCACCACATAGATGGCACCATGTAAATTGCACAACATACATTCCGCACCAAAGGGATCGCACAATATGTATGTATATATATGTATGTATATTGCAACACGTTGATTGTACCACATACATTGCACCGCATACATTGCACAACTTAGATTGCACACCGTAAACTCCACAACAAAGACTGCACCCCAGAGCTATTGCATCACATAGGTGGCTATACATATAATGCACACCGTATAGAGTACCTCAAATATCGCAACACGCAGACTGCACAACTTAGATTGCTCCACATACACTCCACCGTATACATTGCACAACGTAGATTGCTGCACATCTGTTGCCCGGCGTACACTGCACTACGCAAATGTCTCCAGACAGATCGCACGCCATATGTTGCACAACCTCGATGGCAACATCACGTAGGTTGCACCGCATACATTTCACCACATATGTTGCACCACATAGATTGCTCGACATATATTGCACCACATAGATTGCATAACATGGGTTGCACCACAGAGATGGCACGATACATACGAATGTGTGTATATATATACACATACATATAGGGCACAACAAACGTGGCACAACATATATCGAACCAACTAGGTTGCACCTCCTAGACTGAACGATATGCATGCGCAACATAGATTGCTGGAAACAACCTGTTCGGGGTCCACGCTGGCTGACATAAAGAAACGGCCCCGGGGCATCGAAAACAGGCCGCCGGACGCCACGCGCGCGTGCAAAGGCTGGCCGCCCTGGTGCTGGCAGGGCGCGCCCCGGGCCTTGTACTGCTGCCGCAAGCCCCGGTCGTCGATCACCCTCTCCAGGGTCCGGATCTGCTCCGAATGCCTCAGCAACATGTCTCGCACCTCCCACAAGACGCGGGCGGCCCCAAGCCCGGCGGGCGGTGGGCCCAAGGATTTTTCCCTGCAAACCATCACTGGTGACAACATCGCATCACGAAACAAAGCGTCGCTCGGCAAACCGGGAACACCGCACAAACCAACCTGCAATAGGCAACTCATGCTATGAGTCGTGGCCTGGGCAACAATTCGGCAACGCAGATGCTCTGCATGGTGTCCAGGAGTCTAGGGGACCGTGTCACGAAACATCTGGACGTCTTTCGTCTAGGTCCTGTCTCCCCCTCCATCCCTTTCCACGCCCGCTTCTTCTTCCACTCCCTCTCTCCCCAATGGGACACGGAAGCGATGTTGTGCTGCATTGTTTCGTTATGTTCCTGAACGTGTCCGGGATTTGAGAACGTTGCCGAATAACTGTTACTCCAAGACTTAGCAATCCAACAAACTAAATACAATCAACCGTTCAATTTCCCAACGCAGCAGAACTCTCGAGAAATCGAACAACTCACTCGACATGGAAAAACGCTAGTCGTTATATCCCCCAGATCCAAGATTGTCCTGACACGCTTGACGATGTAAGAAAACAATGTGAAAAACGGCACAGAGAACGAGCAACAACTGAAAAGGGCACTGGAATCATGCTCGCTGGCTAGGGCAAGATTTTCGTTGAAGCAAGAAGCTCTTGGTCGCACCATTGGAAACGGTCAGACATCGAACAAGCACTGGGGCAAGAGGAGGAGGAGGAGGAGGAGGAAGGATGCGGAGGAGGAGGAGAGGAGGAGGAGGAGGAGGAAGAGGAGGGGGAGGAGGAGGAGGTGGAAGAATACGAGAACGAGGAACATACATAAGACGGGAAAAGGGAAACGAGAGCGGAACAGACCACGGACAATGAACAACATATGGCAACGCATAACGCCACACGGACACGAGTACGGAAACCACAAAGGGACACACAAAAGACATATACATGGAATGGGCGTAGAACAAAAACAAAAGCAATTCAAAAGCTGTCGCAAAACACAAAGCATGACAACAACAAGAGGGGCTCGGACAATAACGCTGACGTGAAACGGATGGGACAACTGAAAAACAAACGGAACGAGAACATGGGACGTGCAATGACGAAGAGCGGACATGACTGCAGATGAACAACACAACTAAACGAGCGTACCATAGAAGGGGGGATCACGCGAACGGGAAGGAAGTCAAACGAATGCGAAAAAGGGTGGGTGTAGAGCGAAGGGGAGGGAGGGTATCACGAGACTGAACAAGTAAACTAAGAGATGGGGTGTGGGGTGGGGGCGGGGTACACCAGGGTACAACGAAAGGGGAGGGTACCGCGAAAAGGAAGGGCGGCAACACGAACTTGACGCACGTAAAACGGACGGGGGCATGGCGCAACCAAATAGAGCAAGAACAAGGAACATTATTAGGAGGGGGATTACAACGACATAGGACGAACATGAAAACGAAAGGGAGGGGTGGTGCAACAGAAGGGACGGCCGCGCAAATTGCCCAGGAGTTGCGCGCGCGCGTGGAAGCCAACCAATGTGCCACGGGCGAATGTGCTGTGTGCGTGGGCTCTGCGGTGCTCACAACGGGCCGCAGGGAGAGCGCCCTCCCTGCAGCGCGACGCCACGACGCCCAACCAATGACTGGGGAAACTAAAAAGTACCGACATTGCGACTCCCTGGACCTCTCCCGGGTGTGTCCTGACCAAAACTTCGAGGCGAATCCAGCGGTGGCGACGAGGGCCTCCCAGGAAGACAAGAAAACGCAGAAAACGAGGCAAGGGTACAGGTATCGGTACCTCTTCCTCCTCTGAAGGATGACAAATCGCGCAGCCGAACGTGGAAGCGAAGACATGATCTTAATTAATCAGCGGCCGCAAGGGGGAGCCATCGGGGTCGGGGGCGGCCAAGAGGGCGGCGCCCAAGAGGGGGGGCCGCAAATCGTGGCCGGCGGCATGTGCGCGCGGTCCAGGGGGGGGGGGGGGGGCCGGGGTCGCAGTGAAACAAGAAGAGGCGCCATGAGATCTGTGGAGATATCTTGGCCCCCGCCAACCCCCCCGCTTAGAGGGAAAAGAACGATGCACATGCACCGATTCTGGCCAGGCCCATCCTGAGCCCAGGATCGGTGCATACGCCCTCCTACCTTGGCCAGGAAGGCATATGCACCGATCCTGGGTCAAGGATGGGCCTTGCCGGGATCGGTGCATGTGCATAGTTCTCGTCGCCCGAGAGATATCTTGGCCCCCGCCATGATATCCCCCCCCCCCCCTGCGCCACCACCCCCTCCTTGCCGCCCCCGAGGTCAGACGGCGGTCGAGCCGCGGAGGACTCCGCGGAACCCTTTCCGTCCATCTGCGGACGCCCCCCCCGCCCCCCCTGGGCCCCCCCCTGGGCGTGCCGACGTGGGCGACGACCGGCGCGTGCGAGGAGCCCCGGCGGGAAGCGACGCCTGGGCCACATCTTGCGGCCCAGAGGAGACAGATTGCCTCTCGTTCCGCCTCCTCCTGCTCCTCCTCCTCCTCTCCTCCTCCTCCTCCTCCTCCTCCTCCCTCCTCCCTCCTCCTCCTCCTCCTCCTCCTCCTCCTCCTCCTCCTCCTCCTTCCAACTCCTCCTCCTCCTTCTCCTCCTCCTCTTGCTCCTCCTCCCGCTCTGCGTCGCTCCACACTCCTCATCCTCCTCATCCATTCCACTTCCCTGGGGGAAGAGACGTCGTCCTCCTCCTTCACCTCCTCCTCCCTCCTCCCTCCTCCTCCTCTTCCTCCTCCTCCTCCTTCACATCACGCATCCTCCCTCCTCTCTCCTCATCCTCATCCTCATCCCGACCTTCGCGTCTCCGACTTTCTCCCTCCTCCGTCGTCCCTCCTCCTCCTCCTCCTCCTCCCCCTTCCTCCCTCCACGTCCTCCTGGTCTTCCTCCTCAGTCATCCGTATGTTGCTTCTCCTCTTATTCTTACTCCTATTCCCTCCCCTCCCTCTCCCTCGCCCTCTTTCGCTCTCCGCCTCACGCTCATTATGTCTTCCTGCTCCTGCCTTCCTGTCCTTCCCCTTCCCCTCCTCCCATGGCCCAGGCACCTCCTGATTCGTTGAAGGGCTCGGCCTGGACGACGGAGAAGAAGGCTGCGTGCCAGCGGGGGGTGCATCGTCCTTGGGCGGGGGTGGAGGACGGCGGAGGAGAGGCACCAGAATGGATTGCAGGCACAACGGTCGCCAGCATGCTCTTCTCACGGCCCACCGTCCTCCTGGTCCGAGCTCCAGAGCGTCAGGTTGTCGCGCAGCAGCTGCAAGATGAGGGCGCTGTCCAGCTCCGCGGATCTTCCGCGTCCTGTTAATGCATCGCTCGTCGCACTGTCTTTGTACGGATCTTCAACGACGTTATCAAACTCGGTCACTGCGTCCGCGAAAGCGGTGCACGCCGTCTTGCACGCCTCGTCGGGGTCCGACAGAACCTCGTACTGAAACACCGAGTAGTTTAGAGCCAGGCCGAGGCGGATTGGGTGCGTCACTGGCACGTCGGTCGAGCGGGCATTCTCCGCCGCCTTGAAAGCTTCCTCGTAAGCCTGTGCGGCCTTCCTCTTGGCATCGCCCTGGGTGTATTCCGCTACGTAGCGGTAGTAGTCGGCCTTCATCTTCTTGTAGAACACCCTCGACTCGCCGGTCTGTGCATTCGGGATCAATCTCCCATCAAGCACATCGACGATCCTGGTACATCCGCCACCGTGTCCCCTGGGTTACATGTCAAGTGCTGCTTTGCAAGGATAATGTAAGTCTTCTAAGCCCCCTCCCCCCTCTTCTCTCCTCCTACCTCCTCGCTGCTCCTCCTCCTCCTCTTCTTCCCCCTCCTTCCTCCCTCCTCCTCCTCCTTCCTCCCTCCTCCAAACTCCTACCTCCTCCTGCAGCTCCTGCTCCTCCTCCACCTCCTCCTCCTTTTTCTCCCTCCCCCTCCTCCTCATCCTATTCCTCCTCCTCCTCCTCCTCCCTCGTCTTCCTCGTCTTCCTCGTCTTCCTCCTCCTCCTCCTCCTCCTCCTCCTCCTCCTCCTCCTCCTCCCTCAACCGTTTCCTCCCGAGGCTCTCGGGGAGGCCCCGCGCCTCCCTCGCCCCCCCCCTCCCCTCACCCTTCGGCGGCGGCCAAGATGGGGGGGGGGGCGTCCAAGAGGGGGGGGGGGGGGCGCAAATCATGGCCGACGGCACGTGCGCGGCCCAGGGCGGGGGCCAGGGACGTAGAAATGAGAAGAGGCGCCATGAGATCTGAGGACATATCATGGCCCACGTCATGACATCCACCCCTCCTTAGTCATCACCCCCCTCACTGCCGACCCCGAACCCTGGTGCTCTCGCACGGCTTCGGGGACAGCCGCCAGAAGAGCCACCAAGGCAGCCAAGATGGTCCAGCACCGCATGGGAAATGCCTACTTGAGCCAACCATCGGGGGCGCGCAGCACATGAGCGATCCATGGACTTGGCGCGCGGTCGCCAAGTCCATGGAGCGGGGGAAGTGCCCTACCCAAAACTGTGGCCGGTGCCGCCTTGATCGGCGGCGGGAATCCGCGATTTCCCAAGGAAACGGGACCCGTCGCTAATCCACGCCCCCTTGATCCATGTTTGCGATCGCCTGAAACCGCCATCAAGAACAATGTGCGAGGTTCCCCCGCGGCCTAGGTGGGGATGCGGCGTTCTGTGCCTGACGCGCTGCTTTGGCGACGCCCTTTCCTCTCTCATTCTTCTGCTCGCGCACACAAACACACGCACGCACGCAAGCAGATACGCATGCACACACACACACACACACACGCGCACACGCACACACACGCGCGCACACACGCATGCACGCACGCACGCACGCACGCACGCACGCACGCACGCACGCACGCACGCACGCACGCACGCACGCACGCACGCACACAGCACACACACAAAACACATACACAACACACACACACAGCACACAGCACACGTCACACAACGCACAACACGACACACAACACCCAACACACAACACGCAACACAAAACACACAACACATCACACACACACACACGCACCACACACCGCACACATCACACACACACGGCAACAATACATACGATACGCACCACACAACACACACACAGAAACACAACACACTCCACGCACACAACACAAAACACACCAGTCACCACACACCGCATAACGACATGACCAGGGTATCCGCAGCAAGGAGGACCAGTGGGGAGGCGGGGTCGGCATGGTGCCAGAGCATGATGCTGGCCCCAGCGACTTTGGGAAGACCGAAGACCTCGCGTACACTCCCGTCCAACGTGAGCCCTCGCCAGAGCCTGGAAGCAACACACAAACAACACAAATACAAACACAAACACAAACACAACCACAAACAAAAACACAAACGCAAACACACACACACACACACACCCACACCAACATACACATACCCGTGCACGTGCACCCACACACATGCATCGTACCTATACGACCACCCTACGGGTGATAAGGAGGTTGGGGGTGGTGGAGGAGCCGAGCAATGGGCAACAGTGGTGATTGTTCTCCTGACGATGCCAGTGGAGATTTTTTTGTCGGAGGCCTGCTGAAGCCCCTCTTGTCGCCACTGACTAAATCGCTTCAAAATATTGCTCAACGGCTGCCCTTCGGCGGTCGAGACCGATGTGGTGGAGGAGAACCTGAGAGAAGACCTCATTCGCTGTCTCATTCGGTCTCACTACCGATCTCACAATCGATATCACTATCGACGTCATCATCATCATCATCATCAGCATCATCATCATCATCATCATCAACATCATCATCATCATCATCATCATCATCATCATCATCGCCATCATCAACATCATCTCATCATCATCATTACCATCATCATCATAATCATCATCATAATCATCATCAACATCATCATCGGGACACCGACAGGACACCGACGGGACACCGGCGAGACACCGGCGGGACACCGCGCGCCACCGGCCGCCCGGCGGAGAATCATTTGGTCCGGCCGCGCCTCAGCCACAGGAGACTTTCCTCTCGCCCGCCCACGCAGCTTCGCCTCGCCCGCACGGCACGCACGAACACGAAACCGAAATCGATTTCCCAAGAGGGGGGGCTCTCCGTTCCACTTCGATCTCACCCCCTAACCTCCGACACATAGGCATTCCCGTGCACATGCAACCGCGGGGTGCGCAGGGGGTGCGGTCTGCATCTGTTTCACGCTCCCAGAGCGTTGGGCCTCTACGCATCCTATCGTCCAGGGCGTGGTCTCTATGTGTCCCTGGCAGGAAACCAAAGGCGCCGATCCTGCTACTCCCCGGACCTCTCCTGGGGTGCGTTCTTAATACGATTTCGAGGCGAATCCAGCGGTGGCGACAAGGGCCTCCGAGGAGGCCCAAAAGGGGGAAAACGAGGAAAAGGTAGAGGTATGGGTGCCTTTCTTTTCCTCCTCCGAGTCCCATCGTCCAGGGCATGGCAGGGGCAGCACGTCCGCGCCACCAGGTGGGGGTGCGCAGGGGGTGCGGTCGCTGCGCGCCCCGCCGACCCGGGCGCACACAAGAGAATTGGGATCCTTCGGTAGCGCATGTTGGTCCTCGTGTCCCAGGCCGCTCGGCCCCGGATGGTTCCAAGAGTGCCTCGCAGGGGCCAAGGAGAGGCCAAGATGCACCCACGACGGCCCCAAGCCGCCCCCCCTCCCAGACGGCCCCGGACAGCCACCAGCGGAGCGGCCCTTGAAGACGGCCCAAGAAGGGCCCAGGACAGCCCACGAGGGCCCCACGGCCGCCCAGGAGGGCCTCAAGGCGGCCCCCCCCACACAGCCCCAGGAGGCCCCGTGGATGGCCCAGACGTGCCCAAGACGGCCCAGCAGAGCCACAGGAGGGCTCCACGGGAGCCCAAGGCAGCCTCCGGACGGCTCACGCCGCCCCCCTGAGAGCTCCTAAATGGAAAAGACGCTGTCACGTGTTGTGGCCTTCGTCGGAAATGCTCGCACAGCCGCCACGCAGGGTGCGGCACCGGCACGGTGGCGGGACTTGCCGCAGGCAGTTGGATATGTCATCGATTTCTCTCTCCACCTTTGGGGGGCAACGATAGGGGGGATAGGCGTAGGGGGGGATGCATCGACCTGGAATCGGCGATACATCGTCGACAGATCGGCGATCGGCCCCCGATACTGCATCTGCACCTTGCTGGGCGGGGTGGGGCTATCGGGCCCCTATCGGCGATCAATGGGCGATTGGGGGTCGATGCACCCCCCCAATGCCTATCCACCCGAACCTTGCCCCCGAACCTTGGCGCAATACTCCCTGGCAAAGCTGGCGCTGTCGCCACGCTCCTTGGACTTCAGGACGCGCCACGCGGCGCGGCGCGAGCCCACGGCGCTCTTGTAGGCCACGGACAGGAGGTGGCGCTCCTCGGGGGAAAGCTCGTGCGCCGCTTTCCCCGCCGCCTCCATGTGGGCCGCCATATCGTCGTAGCGCTCGGCCTCCTCTGCAAGCCTCGCGAAGTACACATCCTCAGGGGGGCATCATGAGGATGATGTTGATGGTGATTATGATCATGAGTTCGTGTGATTGTGCTGCTGCTGCTGCTACTGATGATACTGATGATGATGGTGATGATGCTGCTGCTGATGATGCTGATGATGATGATGATGCTGATACTGATGATGGTGGTGATGATTAAGACGGTGTCGATGAGAATGCTGATGCAACTGATTATCATGATGCTGAATAGTATGACGATGATGCTGATGATGACGATGCTGCTGATGATAATGATACTGGGGATGATGATGCTGATTTTTGACATGATGATGCGGATGAGGATCATGCAGGTGATGATCATGTTACTGATGATGCTGATGCTGATGACGACGACGATGAGGATGATGATGAGATGATGGTGATGCTGCTGCTGATGATGATGATACTGATGATGCTGCTGCTGCTGCTGCTGATGATGATGATGATGATGATGATGATGATGAGGGGGATAGTGCTGATGATAACGATGATATTGATGATGAAGACGGTGTTGATGATGATTACGATGATGAGGATACTGCTGATGACGATGATGAGGAAGATGATGGTGCGGATGATGATGATGATGATGATGATGCTGATGATGATGATATTGATGACGATGATGATGACGATGCTGCTGCTGATGATGATGATGATAACAATACTGAGGATGCTGCTGCTGATGATGATAATGATGATGTTGCTGATGATGATGAAGACGGTATCGATGATGATGATGATGATATTGATGATGAAGATGATGATGATGATGCTGATGACGATGCTGCTGATGCTGATGCTGATAATGATGCTGATTATGCTGATGATGATGATGATGATGATGATGATGATGATGATGACGATGCTGATGTTGGTGCTGATGTTAATGCGGATGTTGCTGCTGCTGCTGCTGCTGCTGCTGATGATGATGATGATGATGATGATGATGATGATGATGATGATGATGATGATGATGATGATGATGGGGGGAGGAGGATGCTGATGACACGGATACTAGTATTCGGCATCAGCGGTGAGCGAATAGCCATGATGATAATGACAAGTGTGAGTGCACGTGACTCCCGCAGACGCGGGTTGGAGCGAGGGGAGCCGGGCTCGCCAATCAGGAAGCTGGACGTCAGCCCGCCACGGTCTCTGTGCTGCTCCGATCCAGCGACACCGCTGGACCCTGACCCCGACGTCATCATTTTTTTCATTACGTCGACCCATTCATTCCCCGGGGCCGGTTTTTCATCTTGAGTAGTCATGATTTTCTCATTACCCGAGGGGGTCTGGGGACCCTGGGTGGGCCGAGAGCGCGGAAGCCCGTCGCGGGCGCTGAAATTCTGGATGAGCTCCTCTCGCAGCCCAGACGCGGCGACCCCGCGGCCCCAGCAGGCCGTCGAGGTTTCTCCGCATCGGGCTGGGACCAACGCAGATGGAGGCCTGCCCCAACCGTCGACTGCTGTCTTGCACTTGTCGACAAGCGAGTTCGACGACTCGCAAAGCCACCACTCGCAAATGGCCTCGATCCGCCATGGGGGGTCCACGATCCATTACGTCGACGCAGGCAAGTCCTGGCGGATTTCGGAAACCCTGAGCCCTTTTACTTAAGCCACCTTCCGCCGAGCTTCCGCCGGCTTCCGCCCGCGGAGGCGGCCTCGCTTCACTTCCGCCGACCTTCCGCCGCGGAAGAGATGACAACTCCTTCGATCCTCGACGGCAAGGCCTTCTGTTGGAACGCCCCACGTAGGTTTCGGACGTTTACGAGTGGGCACTCTGCGAACAGTGGAACGCGCTCTGTGGTCCCTTGCAGCCACGACCCTGCGCCACTCTTTTGGCCTCAGGCGGGGCCCCCGCCCTCGACCGTCCCCCCCCCCGCCCTCCCCAGGGACCCCAAGACGCCACGGACGCGTCCAAGTCCCCCCCGGCCTCCTTCGTCTCGGGCGCGGCGTAACCGACCACTGGCAGACCATCCCTTCCGTGACGCCGTCCTCGCTGCGCAGGCCTCCCTCTTGCCGCACACATGCGTCTCGGGGCGAAGCGAGGGGGACGTCACGGCAGGGAAGAGCTCCCATGTTTCTCAAGTTGCCCCGGTCCCCGGGTCGCGGACGCTCCTGGGCGCCTTTTGGTGCCAGCCCCCGCGTGACTTTTCCAGCCGCCTCGGAGGCGCGGCTTGCAATCCACACTTCCAGCATGGCTTAAGCTGGTCTCAGGCCCCCTCCTGGATCGGGGATTGCTCAAGGCGCCCCTGGCCGAGGGCGCCCCCAGCTTGTCGATCCATCTTGGGCCCCCTGTGCCCCCCTGGGCCTCGTGAGGGAGTGCTCTGGAGGCCGTGGGGGCCTCCCTTGAAATCCTGGGGGCACCGTGGGCCAGTGGTACGTCTAGCAACACCCGACTGGAGCCTCTTGGATAATGGGCCTGTTTTCCACCACCACCACCATAAGTTGGAGGGGGAGGGGGTCCTGCGTTTCTGCGTTTCGGAGCGCGCCACAGCAGCCCACGACGGCCGTGCCGGCACTCAGACGGCGGCCCCGGGAAACAGACCTCGAGGAAATAAATTGGACGAGGCACCAGTAAATGTCGGATGAGGGAGAGAGGCCAGGTCAAAAAAAGGAGGCCCGAAAGTGCCCCTGGGCGGTCGCCACGCGCGCCCGCGCCCGTGGGCGTCAGGCAGCGCCCGCGGCGCGGCGCTCGGCCTTGCCTTCGGCCTCTTCGTGGGCTGGGGCCAGGCTGGCCGCTGGGTTGCGGCTGGGCTGCGGCTGGGCTGCCTTCGGCGCGGAGCGCTGAGCCCAGCCGCTGTGGAGGACGGCTGTCCCCTCCTCGGCTGGGCCTGGGTGTGTGGCCCCTGCTCCTGACCACCTTTCCCCAGGTCCAGCGGGGTGTGGGGGGGGGAGTGGCTCTCCTGCCTACTTTTCCCCAGCTCCCTTCGGGGCTCAAGGTATGTGGCCCCTGTTCCTGGCCACCTTTCCCTCGAGCCCGCTTCGGCCTGGCTGGCCTCTGAGCGACGCCTGGGCTCCCTTCGGCGCCTCGCGCTGAACCCAGGGTCGGGGCAGGCTGCCCGGTGGCCTTGGAACAGAGTGTGTGTGTGGTCCTTGGGCCTGACCACCTTTCCGCCGTCCTCTGCCATCGTTAATCACTAGGTGTGTGGTCCCAACTCCTGACCACCTTTCCCTGGAGCTCCATACTTCATTAACTCCATCTTCGCGCGCCCGGATGTATGACACCTGCTCCTGGTCACCTTTCCCCAGGTCCTCGCGCAGCTCTGGCGGTGTGGACCCTGCTCCTGTCCTTCTTTTTAATTGTGTCTGTGTGGTGCTCTAGGTGTGCGCCCCCTGCTCCTGACCACCTTCCCCCTCGGGCCTCCATGTGTCTTGTCCTTTTCGCGTCTTATTGTCCTGCGTGATCTCCAGCTCCGCGCGCTGCACTGCGATGCCAGGTTGCTGCAGTCGCGCGGCTGCGGTGGCTCCACCTTTCTCGCATTCTGACGTCGGTGTTTTTGGTGACAAATTGGAAAGCGTGGGTGCGTGGGTGGGGTCCATGCACCGATTTCAAGTGGGGGTCTTGGCTGTCCCACCTCGTCCCGCTATGGCTAGGGGTCACTGTGCCCTCGGTGGGGGCGAACCCCAGGCCTGGCGCTGTTGTGGTCGTGGCGGGGTTGACCGCGCATGCCCTCTGCTCTGCCATGTCGGCGCACGGGTGAGCTCCTCCTCCGTCGCGGGGGCGTGGCGAGCTAGGGCGGACCGCGGGGGCGCGGGCAGTGGCCGTCCTACCCCCCGCCCCTCCCCCTCCTGCCCCTCACCATCCCCCCTGGCGGGCGCGGGCAGCAGTCGCCCTGCCCCCCCCCCGCCCTTCGAACCCGTCTCGAAGTTGGATCCTTGCCTCGCCAAGGCCGCGTGGACTTGTGACGTTGTATTGGTGGGGCTGTCTTAAGATTGCTGGTGCTGGTTGGTCGTCGGTGATTGGCGGTCGTTGAGGTCGCCTGTAGTCTGGGTTGTTGGAGGCCGCTCAAATGTGCGCGCGTGAAAGCGCTACGTGTTTCGGCACGGCTAAACGCGGTGACTTGTGTTCGGGGTCTCCCCTCGCGTTCTGGCCCCCCCCGGGACTTGCGCCCTAACGCCTCCAGCAACACGTGGCTACGCTGCCCGAGGTGTCCCCTCGCATTCGGGGCTTCCGCAGGACTTGCGCCAAAACGCCGTTGGGATGGTTGTCGGAGGGGCGCGCGCCTTGGTTCGCGGGGGCGCATGGCGCGGTGTCTGGCTGCGAGGAGTGACGCTCGTAGTGCGGAGGGCGCAGTCGGTCTGGTGGACACTGGGTCGTGATGTAGAGCTTGGTGGGGGGTGGTTGGACGCGTTGGTGGCAGGATGGTTGTTTGGGCCTGTCGCGTTGGTCTGGTAGCTGGAAATGTCGGGCGTAGTGGATATGGTGCGGTGTGTAGTGAGTTCGGCCGCGTGCGTGCGCCATCCTGCGCGGCCTGTGCCTGTGCCTGTTAGCGCACTCGGGATCTCCGCTCCCGGCGGCAGTCGTGGCCAAGCTCTGCGGTCTCTGCGTAGTAGTCCAGTGGTGCGTAGAAGTTGTGATGCCCCTAGTCGCCCATGGCCCATGGTGCATGGTCGTCTGCCAGGTGCCCCCAGCTCGCCGCGACAGCCGCCACCGTGGCTCTGCGCAATTTCGACGGGTGTTCTTTGAATTGCGCACCCTTCCATCCACCTATGTCATCGCGTCCGCAAGCTCGGCCATGTCCGTGGCGCGTGCAGGTCTGCCCCCCGGGCACTGCCAGTAGCGCTTGTCGTAATTCGCGCAGGCGTGCTGGGAGTAGGCATGTTGGTTTCTGCGCTGTCTGTCCAAACTGGCACTGGTCGGTGTAGTAGAGTTCCATGCTGCGTTGTTCCAGTAGCCACTTGGTGTCCGCTCTGTGCCAGCTGCTCTGTGCTTGCGGGCGCCAGAAGGCAGGTGTTGCGTGTTCGAGTATGGCTAACACTTCGAA